CAGTTTCAAGGCCGCTCCTTTTGAGATCCCAAGGGTGAGCTGTTTTCTGACTGGATCCTGACAAATCCAGGGGTGATGAGATGTGCTAAGCTCCACCAAAAACTTCTGTTTTCCTTTCTCTCCGGCCATCACTTCCAAAGATTCTAGGACAGGGTTGGGCTGCTTGCATTGTTTCACCTGCTGTGGAGGAATACTTGCACTGTTTGAAAGCTTTCGTTAGGCTTTAGGGAATATTTTACCTGTTATCCTTCCCTGTAATTCCATTATCAGTGTTTTAGTGTCTTTGGAACTCTTCTGCTTGTGAAACAGCTAAGAGAGATGTAGCCTGAAACTCTCACCGGTATTTTAAAAACCAGAGCTCTCACTAACCATGGTAATAGCTTCTCTTTTTCGCCTTAACAGTTAGAGCTCAAAAAGATGATAAAATGTCAAGGCATCAAAACGCTTAAATTTAAGCAATAGGCTTGATTTGAAATTTCAGATAGTGACTCTCTGCTCACGTCCTTCTCCTTAATCATGATTTTTTTAAAAAAAATTTAAACACTGAGCTGAAATATTAAATAGCAAAACTGAACACTCTTATAGAACAAAGATTTTAAAATGAATATTTCACTCATTTGTTCGTGCAAAACTGTCTCCTGAAGGTCCACCGTGAGCTAATTCTTCCAGGCAGTGGGATACACACACAATTCACAATATAGACAAAAATCCCTGTCCTCACATTCTGCCTTTCTCACCCAAGAAAACAGCCCCAGGACTATCTAAACTGAGTAAGAAACCGCTTATTCTGATCCTAACTTGCCCACATACAAACAAATGCAAACCTGTTGCCCTCAATTCTGACTCATAATGACCCTCTAGGACAGGGTATAACTGCCCCGTAGGATTCCCAAGGCTGTAAATCTTTATGGTAACAGACCCATATCTTTCTTCCGCAGAGCAGCTGATAGGTTCAAACTGCCGACCTTTAGGTTGGCAGCCGAGTTCTTTAACCACTGTGCCGCCAGGGCTCCTACACACCCACATTGGCTCATCCAGTTAGGCAGTCAACAGCAGGCACTTATGAAAAGGAAAGACGGCCTACTTATGGGATACATACAATGGCATCAGGTGACTGCTCCATCTTAATCTTCACACCCGTCCCAAAGGCAGAGAATTCTCACATCCAGCCATTTTCCCACAGGATGGGTGTGTCTACTACAGATGTTCTATTATTGACACATCTTAGAATGTGATTTGAGTGCCAGATTGCCACCTATATCCCTGCCCTAAAAAGCCAGAAGAATCAGCTGTGATTGGGCATCATCATCTGAACATGAGGAATGGACCTATCAAAGCAGTCCTACCCTGTCAAACCAGGGCTCACTCAGCCTCCAACCCCCATGCCTACCGAACGCCATCTTTCAGAAGCCGGGCCAGTTCCTGCTGGTCCTTCTCCCCATGCTCATTGCATCAGAAGTCGCACTTCCCTTCTCCTCAGCTTTTACCAAAATGCACTCAGGGCAGTCGGCTCCGAGTATTTTCAGTTGGTTTATCTTGCACTTCAAATGGGAGCAACTAAAATAGTCGTTAGGTTTTGCTGCCCAAGAGTAAATTGTAATAATTTAAAAGAAAATATCACTACTAAGAAATAAATTTAACCTTTTTATAGACATGTTCTTAAATACTGGTCCGTTCATTTACAAACATTTATGGCGTTCCTCCACATCAGGCACTGTTCTTTTGAAGAAACCCAGAGTTAAGGGAAGGAGTGATGATGGATGGGTGGTCAGGAAAGGCCTGAGAGACTGGATGCAAATTAGGCAAAAAACTACAAAAATCTCTACGAATACAGCTTTCCAGGCAGAGAAAGCAAAGGCCAAAGCCCTGAGACGGGACTGCAGAGTGACTCAAAGTGCAGTGAGCAAGAGGCAAACAGACGAGAAGAGAGTGGTGACGTTCAGTGACTTGAGCATGTAAGCCATGAAAGGAGTTTGACTTTCCCGAGAGTGAAATCATTGGAGCGTTTTGAACACAATGACATAATCTAGCTCACATCTCATTCAGGCAGCCGCATGGGGAAGAGACTGTGTGTGTGGGAGAGCAGCACGAGGCGGTGAGAGTCGAAGCAGGGAGAAAGATTAGGAGATTGTTGCAGTGATTCAGGAACGACTGAATTAGACTAGAATAGTAAACATGGAGGTAGGAGATGTTCTCAGAACCCAGAATACATTTTGAGGACAGCTTACGGGTCTCCATGATGGATTAAACATCGGACATTAGAAGAAAAAAATAAAGTATGATTTTTAGGTTTGGATCTCCAGCAACTTGGGAATAATGGCGTCAGTTACTGAGAATGGAACAATGGAGAAGAGTCTAAGGCACACATTGACAGCTCTTGGCCATGTTAGGTCTGGGACGCCTTTAGACAACCAAGTATCTAGACTAACTATCTGGAGCTCAGGGCTAGATATAATTTGGGTGTAATTATAAATTATAAAGCCGAGGGCCTGAGTAAGACCACCTAAGCAGACTGCAGGTTACGGTACTTCCAAGGTTAGAAATCAGGAGGGTCGTCCAGCAAATTAGCACAAGGCCTAAAGAATCTCAACTTTAAGCCAGAATTTAAAAAAAGAGCAACTAAAAAAACTCTATTTTGAGACTACTACAACACACGCTATTAAAATTTTAGCAGTAATGTTATTTTGTTTCCTTACTCAAACTCGAATTATGCATTCTAAGACTGCTTCAAAACAGATTGTTCTGAAATAACAGCACAATATGGTCAAAACGTATTTATTACTCTTTAGTGTCATTTGTACACTCCAGTACAGATACAAGAATACAGCCATATTTACAAGTATTTAGAAAAACCCATATATTCAAACCCCACATCTAAATACAGTAGCTTTAAGTCCTGAACTACAACAGTTGTGGGTACGTAGAGTGAATTACTCTGCCACCTCCCTCCCCTTCTGGAATAGTTCCTTAAAGCTAGAGTTATGTTGAAACAGAACAAGAAAAACTGTTTTGGAAATACGGCAATAATTTTCTTCTTTGCAATGTTTTAAGCACCTCCTTCCCAAGATTTTTACAAGTGTGAGACAGGAATGTCAAATTTAAATGTCAAATGTGTCAAATTTAGAATTAAGAAAAATAAAACCACTCATTTGGGCTATGAAAAGCAGCATGATGCCTTGAGAAAGAACTGGACGGAGCGCGGAGTTGAGTTTCCAGTGTTCGCAATCTGGGAGTTAAGAGTCCACGTTTTACAATTAAACACTGGCCTGACTAAACAGAAACACAAACAAAAGGTAGGAAGGGAAGCTGGTTCTTCAGGGGACTTCCTAACAAACCCATCTTCACAAAATACATTTTGTTACAATATCAGTTTTCAGTGTTTGAATATAGGCTATAAGGTCCTTCAAGAAACAAACAAAAAAAACACCTGAGGCTTCTTAGAGACTACGCAGTCATTTTATTTTGAAATTGTCTGAACCAAGTTGCCCACCAAGATGATACGTGTTCAAAGCTGTGGCAACAGGTTAACTAGATAAAGAATATTTTAGGATATCGTGTCTAATAGTAGATGATCCCTGCTTACCTCAAAAAGGTTAGCTGCTGAATTACCATGTCTGTATTAAAGTGCAGTATTTAAAATAATTTACTACAGAATAAGTGAATCAAATATTGTAAAAATATTTCCACAAAAGATTTTAATTGTGTGTTTAAAAATTCACCACTAAGAAATTTCAAATTAGGCATTTTCTCCTATATATATATAAGCAATTCATTTACGGATGTAAACATTTTTTAAGCAAAGAAATCAAACGACATAGATCAATTAATTCTATTAGCAAATCAAATACAACTTTATCTTAAACCACAAATCAAGTTGCCATCTGCTCAGGAAACATCTGCCTGCCACATCACAAACTGCTTTTCTCCAGGAGGAAAGATCCAGAGCCACACTAGTGAGGGTTCTAGCTTACCCCAGCTCCTTCCAGGTTTCGTTTACACGCACGAAGTCCAACAAGCGTTAACAATGTCACAGGTATGAACATTTCATGATGATGTATGTCATGACACTGGTCTCTTCTTACATTTAAAAGTATTCTCAAGTTACAGGGGAAAAGAATCAACTTCCAGTATAAGATTTTCATTCTTCTTAATTACATTGGAACATTTTTGTATTTTAGAAAATACCATTCATGCTGTTGCTCAGTTTATTTACTGAAAAATCTGAGCGTTACTCCTATATGCAAAATATGTTTAAGATATGCTTAGAGCACAACACAAATTTTCAGATTTGTTTAGTATCCCATAAGGCAATGACATTCGTATCTAACACGACAAAGTAAGCCCTGGGTGCTGCCAGCTCTGAAAGCACATGAATAGATCTGCCTCAACAACAACAAAAAGAAACTCTAAATTGGAAAAGATTTTGAAATTAAATGATTCTTCTGCATACAGAAACCTTTGTGACTTAGTACTGGCAGTGTCATGCTAAGGCCATGTGACTAATATTTTAACAAAGGAAAAAAAAAAAAGCCAAAGTAATTTTATAGTAGCAATAGTTTCTTTTTTTATTTTAATATACTTTAGGAAACAATATACAAAGCTGAGCTTTCCCGCCATTTCCAATAACAGCAGGAAGCTCCAATGACACAAATGTAGCGTTTTGTGAGAGCTAAGAACAGCAGTCAGTCAGCACCAGACTTGAACAGTTAGCTACAACACAAACATCCTTCAAATGAAATGTCCTAATAGCAAGACAGGTAAACCAGGGTTTAACAAATGACAACCACTTGGGAAGTTACTTCATCATTCTTGTTGAATTTCATATTTCATTAAATATTTTATACACAATTTTCTGTTAATATGCTTTAAACAAAACTTCCCTTGAAGAATTATTTCAATCAAGTATAAATATTCAACAAGAATAGTTCTGATAAAGAATCCCCAGGTAGTTCAAATTCTAATATGCACTGACCGAAGGAAATGAAAAATAACAATTTTTGTTTGTTTTAACATGTTTATTACAACAGATACAATCCACATCTGACTAGCTCTTTTTCCTCTCCCCCCACACCCACGTTCCTGGGGCTACTTGCTTACAGTTGAGCAGACAATGTACTTTCAGCACACATGCCCAGCAGTACTTTTCAGTCCATTCTCACAGGGTGCAAATGGATTTCAATAATTTATACAAACAAGTGGGTTATGCTCAATCACTGCAATTTTCAGCTACTGTACACAGGAATGAAAAGGTTCTAGAAAAGTGCCATAGCAACAGTGCCTTAAGAAAGGAGAAAAAGAGGAGCCTTAAAAAAATGGATAAAATCAGATCAAGGATTTCAGAGGGAAATGAACACACGGGAAATGAAAAACATTTCTCTGCATAACAAATGGAGAAGCACTGCTCTTGATCAGGTCAAGTGTGGAAACAGTTGTTTCATGATATTTTGTACACTGCCCAAACGGTTCCAAATCGTATCCTCAGACACAGATCGCCTGGCGCTGGCACGGAATTTTTGAAAATGCAAGATTTCTGAATGATAAATTAACCCCCCCATTTTTTTTTTTTTTTAAAAAAAAGCGAATTTTGCAGACAGGTTTACATGTAAAAGGCTAGTTCCTTAGCCACCTCAGCACTGATTAGTTTTGGATGTCTAAGCTCTGTTACACATGGCTTCCCATGGCTTCACTCTACAAAACGTATTTACAACGTGAAGAATACATCTACAAGAAATCTACATGTCAAGGGTTTACAAATCAATCTTTCATCCTTCCCCTGAATTGACTCTCACAGACCCATCCCCTTGTCATTTCCTTTGCCCAGCTTAACGGTCCGAAGTCTACTTAAATGCAGCTCAAAAATGTTAAGACTGGGCAATAGATTTACAGTTCCTGTACTCAAAACCATGTGCAATTATTCACATCTTCACACCATGAAGGAATTCTGATTTTTTAGCTTTTCGAGTTCCTTAATTTGTTGTCTCAAAAATAGTATCCTGAAAAATAAAATAAGGCATTAGTACCTGTGTATTCATATAAATGCAGAAGAAGTGCACTTCTAAACACAAAAATACTTTTAAAATAAGATGATTACTAGTTAAGACTAAATAACTGAAACTATCTTAGTCCACAGTTAAGATAAAATAACCACTGAAGATACACTGAATACATTAAAGTACTAGGATGACAAAGTTTAGATCATTTTAGTTTTCTAACATTTTCTCAGTAATTAACTTGAATATAAAAATCTATTTCAAATTGAGTTGTTCTATACACTGCATCATCATATATTAAAGGGGGGGGGGGCAACAGATTATTAGACACAAGATCCACCCACACTGCATGCTTTCTGAGCCACAATATAGTTAAGACTATAATTAAGTGTAAGAGGGTAATCATTTTAAATAGTAAATCTCAATCCAGATGCAGGTTTACAAAAATGCAACTGAATCTAAGTCCAACTGACATGCTGTGTATTTAAAAGAAAAAACACAAAGCCCACAGCTATCTAGACTCTCAGGCACTTCACGAAGTACTTCCTATCCCTGACCCCTCTTTTCTCTGAACATTTATTGCCTGTACCAGTGAATTTGGTCTAATCACGTACCAGGCTGATATCTGACTGTGTATACTGCTTCCCTACGGTGCAATAAAGAACAGTATAATTTCCTAAAAGTCCATCTGTCTACAAGGCAAAATGAAGACAACCTTTACGTATGCCACAACTATGTTCAGGACAATCCTAGAGTTAAAAAAAAAAAACAAAACCCAGCAATGTTCAAAAAACATCTCCAGATATTTGTTTAATCTAACTGAAGGGGGACAAATTCATTTTTCCAAGTTTACTATAAATCCCAACTTGGTATCCAGTAGCATCTGTTGTTTCATAGTAAGATTAACTCGACTTGTGACCCAGTGACTTACAGAGACAGGATGTGAAACCACTGGAAATCTGTCCTCAGTTCTGTAACAGGCATTTAAAGAAATGTCTGACATTTACTGAGACATAGATATGCTACTCAAGTGAAATACCAGACTAAGAAATACGAGATGAAAAGAGTGTGGGAGAAAAAAAAACTAACATGCAGACATACTACATCACTCGACTTGTTGGGTAACTGAATTCTTGCTATAATTTCCAAGTGGTCTATCAATGACATAAGGACGATATAAATAGTAATTTGAAACTTCAACTGAAATAAGCATCCTCAGCAACAGAGTGCTGCTCCCAATTGAAGAGTGGAGCCTTTACAATGAATGGCTATCAACATTTTACTTTTTAAATAATTAAAATATTTCTGTAGCTAGAGTTGTAACGTAAGGAAAAGTCTACTGAAGCATATACCATGGGTTAAGGGAAATGAAATCTAAATGTCATATCATTCACAAGGAATATTATTAAATCATGAGAAAGCAGTTACAGCATTATGGAACATAAAAAAAATTATCAAAAAGGCATTTCACTTTCATGAATGAAATGTGATTTATGTTCTTCAATCCACTTTAATGTATGTAATTCTAAAACACCATTATTTCATTGAAAAACGTACCTTTGCTCTCGCAAAGTTGCTTGAATTTCACATACTCGGACTAAAGATCTTAAATTTTTTAATTCAGTACATATTTCTGACATGTGAACGCTTCCCATGTTATGGGCTTCTTCACGCAATCTTGATGCCTATAAAGAAAAGTTAGATAAAAATTAAAACATTAAATTTCTATGAGTAGAATTTTATATATAGATTACAGAATGATCTAGTTATCCTTTTCCTTTAAATCCACAAACATGTTGGTAAATCTAAGGGGAAAAAATAATTTTCTCTTAGGAAAATGTCTCTAATGCTAGAAGGTACTCATTTAAGATTTCCATTTCACGTTTCCTGAGAAAACAGAACTCCCAATCTTAAGATAGTATACAGCACCAGAATAAAACAGCTTCATGAATAAATCCGTTTTTTATTACGGTTAATAAAAAATCATGGACCAGCAAAAGGGAACGTCATCCCTGCCGTTTCAGGTGGTGCTGTCGTCAGGCACCGTCAAAGCGATTCCGACTCACAGCGGCCCTACAGGACAGAGAACTGCCCCAGGGGGTTTCCCCGGAGAGGCTGGTGGACTTGAACTGCCGGCCGTTTGGTCAGCAGCCGCCGAGCTCTTACCCACTGCGCCGCCAGGGCTCCAGGGACAGCACTGGTGAAAGGGCCTTAGCACACTCCCACCCCAGGAGACACACAAGTATCTCCCTGAACTTTCTAACACCCACAGGTCAGCTGACAAACAGAAGGGGCAAGCGGCGTTCAGTGGCATTTCCGAAGGTCCCCCACAGCAAAGCAAAAATGTTTCCCGCTTGCTAGTCTAGGGGGATAGTCAGACGACATTAATAGTCCTAACAGGCTCTGCAGCTACCAGAGCGGCAGAGTGGAAAAAGCACACTAGCTTTGGGCTACATCACGATATTAACTGGGTGACCTTGGGATAATTTATCTAGTCTTCAAGAGCCTCAATGGAAAAATGTGAAAAATCAGTATCTAAACTGCTTAGCAGTTTTAAGAGCGGAGAAAACAAACAAAGAACTTAGCACAGGGCTAGAGCATGAGTACATGATTAGTGGTAGCTATAGTGATAGGTGGATTAAAACAGTTTATGTAAAACCACAAAATGTTATTTCATAAATTACTATAAAAGTACATATAAAAAAAAATCTTATAAAATGATTAGAGGCAACCTAATTAGAAATTAGCGATTTTAAATACAGCTCGAATACAATGGTCCAGATTAGAATTTTCTCCAAGTAGAATTAACTTCTATTTTGCTAGTCACCCACATGGACTCTACCTTCCATATTTTAATCATGTAACACACCTGCTTCTCTGCATGATCTGCGGGCCACCCTTGAACATGTTTGATGAGACTCTCGTTGAAGTGTGCGGCTAGCGTAGGTGTCAACGAACACGAAGGTCGGGCAGATGAATTCTGGGGCACAACCGCTGCACTCGGTGCGTTACTACTAGATGGAGGATTCGGACCAGGCGACGGGCTTCTCTGGCTACTGAAGAGAAAACAAAACGGAACGTGTGGTACGTTTAAAAATGTTTTGGGTATCCTAAATTGTCTGCTTAATACCTTCTATCACCTTAAAGATAGCCAAACTCCTAACAAAAATGTGTTTATTTAAACTTCAAAAAGAAAAAGAAATTAAAAACGTATCTATATTTATATCATGTATTCCTCAATACACTTTTGGAGGAAATAAAGAGTCCCTTTAACACTAATGCCAGAGTCAAATTAGAAGAAAACTGTACTCTCCAAATTCGCCAGCAGGACCTGCTGACCTTGTAAATACCACAAACACCAGGGGAGAACGCAACCAAGAAACGGCCACGTTTTAACAGCTGCAGATACCAGGCACATCTCAAGACTGTATCTTAAATACATGTGATAAGAGAGGAGGGGAAAATTACTGCCTTTGTTCAGCAAAATAGAGGCATTTTATTGAACAGCACTGGAGGAGGACAGCGGCAAAATAAGACCAAAAAAGTAGTGCTCTGGGCCAGGGGATGAGGACATGGTGGTGGGAACCAAAAATTTAATAACCTAAGTTGATTTCCTACCTGCTTCACCAGACTTGGCTCTGAATGAATTTCAGTAATTTCCAAAAACTAAATCTCCCAAAAGATGAAGAGTTTTCATCCCTGAGGATATTTAAAATAATACTGCAGCCTCTAAAGACAATTTAAAAGACGAATTTCCCAAACAATGTTCTGAGCAATGGCAACATGGCTGGAGGAAGGAGACAGCTTCCCAAGGTGATTGTTCTGAAGGGAACAACTCTCATCTGATGTACGTTCTGAAACCGGTGTTTAGAAACCACAACAGAAACAACAGCTGAGTTGTTCTGCCACCTCAGCATGAGGTAAAATAGGAGATCAATTAGATGGAAACCATTCACTCACTAAATTCCATTTAAAGTTGTACTGTTAATTATCAAAGATAAGTGACCCCTCAATACAGCACTATCCAGGTACCTGAAAAGCAACCTGTACTGGGTCAGAGCCGAAGCTAATAGGAAAGCCTGACACACACCCGTGGGGAGATACTGGTCTAAGTTTTAGATATAAGATTTTTGGTTTCACCAATACACTCAAATCTGAAACTGCTATAAGGCTAAACATTATGTAATTCCAACAGAGTACCATAAACACATGTGCACTCGCTGTGTCTAAGTATCACGTACTTTTAATCTCCTAATATTCTACTAAGTAAAATCCTAGAGCAGAAGAGCCACATTCTTCAAAAACAACCAAGGCCATCACTACTAGTGACAACAATCTACTTGTGTTACGTAAGAACTGCCTTTTCAACATGAACTAAGCCAGGCTGTCTATGGATCCCTTCCACAACTGCATTCTATTACAGACATGTATTTAGGATATTCAGACATTGCAGTACACCATATTAAAGAAAAACGTGAAACCTGGAGTCTCAACACAAACACCAACTCACCTCGAGCGCTGAAGACTTCGCGGGGAAACAGGTTCATGACCTTGTGGCTTCTCAGCAGGTACAGGCTGCTGAGCGGCTGACTGGGAAACTGGTCCCGGCTTAACTACTGGAGTACTAACCTGCAATTTCAAAACCTGGTTAAGACAGGCTTTATCACACAGGCAAGGAACATGGGAACTAGACAAAAGCAGAAGTTCTATGATCCATGAAACTTTTCTATTATTTCTATTCTTCAGTGATTTAAGGTAAGACAATTATCTTAATTCTGTTTCATAACAATACTAATACTAGTGATACAAACTTATTTAAGTTACATAAATCATTGTCATTTAGGACCTATAACCATCCACTCTCCTTCCCAACCCAAATCTAGTTAATAATGTTAAACAGTGTAAAGTCTGGAGTTTTTAAGAAGTGGAATCAAGTGATTCACCAAAGGTCACACAGCTAAATTTCTTAATCAAATTGGCCCAAGGCCATAAAATTACTTTAGTAATGCAACCAGCCAAAGCAACCAGTTTTCCTGATTTTTGGCCTAGTGTTTTATAGCAATAAAAATAAATATGTTACCACATCATACAAATACAGTTGCTCAGATCTGGAGGGAATGTAGAGATCGATATATGAGAGAATACGCAATGGCCATACAAAATTTGACTTGAAAGGTTTTCAAAGCGATGTCACTCTACAGTGGTATACCAAGAGGTCCATGACCATCAATAGGGATTCACATATTATTCATATTCAGATGCCACAGAGAAGAAAACAAGCCCCAGACTAAAGGCATAAAGGCAAATGAACCATCTGATCCGTTACGTTAGCGATCCATGTCGCATCTGGCAGCAGTGCGTTTCTGTTTCGGGAGGGCGGTGGGAGACAAAGACGGGTCATCGTTCTTCCCAACAAGTGTGGGTAATTCTAACAGCTCTGAACACTACCTACCAGTTCTAATCAAAAGTCCTTCTATAAAGTACATGTTTATAACTTCTATATAAGACCGCATGCCCAATTATTTTGAAAAGCAACTTGGAAGTTTTTTGAAAGCAAAAAGCTAATTGTCGTCTGCTCAAGGGATATGAAACGGTGACTGTGAAAACCATACCACCACCACCACCTGGTTCACTTCCAGCCGCTACTGACTGTACTCTCGAAATACCACACCCTGACGGTAAGTCTGGAGCTCTAAGTAATCTCCTCTGCTGAAGTTCACATTTTAAATTCTTCTTCCATCAAAATAAAGGCGAACAATTAGAAATTCCCTAATAAACTAACAAATACAACTCAGAATTTTTTCAATCCATCTAGATAAACAACACACCCAAGGCAGGGAAGGGATGAGCTGGCCTACCACCGATTTTAAGCTACGCTTCAATACTTTTTTATACTTTGCATTAAGAGTCAGAAGTCACCACTTACACAGAGTACATTCCACACCTCTCAAAATGTTTTACTGGTAGCACACGACAAAGCAAAGAATGAGTACAACTGAGATTTACTTCTGAATTCTGGACAAGACTCAAAAATAAGTGCTGTGGTACAAAATTTAACTGCAACATTATAAGGTTCTGTTAGTTCAGTAAGAATAAATCAGCAAATTTTCCAATTTCCAAACCATGCTCTGAAGAGTCATCTATTGAAGCTTCTGCTTGGACAAACACAGGCAATACAGCTTAGTAAAATGGGTTCTAGATTCAGAAAAATCTAGGTTTCAAATTCCGACTCCACCACTATAGCCAGACTTAACCTATATAAGGTAGATTTTTCTCATGATGTGAAAGTTAAATATAATTGCACATAAAGCTCTTAACATAGAAGCTGACTTACTTTTGAAACAAAAGTGGGAAGAAAAGACAAAGTCACTGGAAAAGATGTTTTCTCACGTCCCTGACAGTTGAAAAATTCTACCATGTAAAGACCCACCACCTTCTTCATCACTCCCTCCACATCACAGATCCCAAGCAAATAAAGGGAATGGAATCAGCGCATATGAGATTAGCACAGACGTAAACAGCCCGTCTAATCTGCACCTATCCTTCACATCAGGAGCCCTAGTGGCAAAGTGGTTAAGTGCCTGACTGCTAATTCTTAAGCGAAAGGTCAGCAGTTCAAACTCACCAGCTGCTCCCAGGGAGAAAGATGTGGCTGTCTGCCTCCATAAAGATGACAGCCCTGGAAACCCTATCAGGCAGTTCTGCTCTGTCCTACAGGGTCACTACGAGTCAAAATCAACTCGGTGTTTGGGTAGCCTTCACATCACTGCTGCATCTCATTCTTACAAGAAGGTTTTGTCTACAATAAAACCAAACCAAATCTGCTGCTGTCAAGTCGATTCTGACTCATAGTGACCCTACAGGACAGAGGAGAACTATCCCACAGGGTTTCTCCAAGGAGCAGCTGGTGAATTCCAACTGCCGACCTTTTGGTTAGCAGGCGAGCTCTTAACCACTCTGCCACTAGGGCTCCTCGTATACAATACAGATTCTAAAATATTATTACACTAATGTTCCCAAAGTAAAGTAAATGGTTTTTTTCTAAGTTTCCCTCGAAGGCAACATACCTTTGGCTGTGATGAAACAGGAGGAGTACTAATCAAAGGTTTGATAGGGACGGTGTTAGTCTGAGGTGTGCTTATCCTTGGAGACACGTAAGATCTTGGGGATGATGCATCAGATGTTAGAGACATTGGAGACTGATTCGATGGCTGGGCTAGAAGAGAGCAAAACCATGTCAAATAAACCCAATATATGTGAAGAAAATCTGTGCATCTTGTCAGACACCCCACACTCCTCAAAGAGAATATGTGAATGAGTCCCAATCTGAGACAGTGACTGGACGACACTGACTGAACAAGCCGGACTCCCCGCGGGTGTTAATGACACGCACATCCAGTGCAGCCCTCTCTGAGGCTGAAACCGGAAGCTACGCCTGAACCTACTCTCGTAAGAAGGAATCCTCACCATCTTTATTTCTTGTTTCTTATTCCCCATTTAGGCCCAGCAATCAATCCCCTCAGGTTCCTACGTCCTAGGCCAGCCAGAGGGCAGTAACAGCTTTTTCACCACTACACTTCCATTTTAGATCAGATATTCCGGCTCAATTTATCTGCTTCCTGAACTGGCGGACAAGTCCACCTAACAAAGTGGCCCTTTTATGTGCCACTGCTCCTATGTGTAGCTCTCTCTACTGGATACCTTCACAGAGAGGAAGGACAGCTAATTCAAGGCAGGATTTGGGCATTTTTGCATTTTCTAGCCAAATGATATTCAATATCAACCTGAACCAAATCTCAACTCCTAAAACATATGCAATGTTTCACAAAGATTTAGGACATATCACAGTTTAACTTCAGTTTTAGAGTAAAATATGTCATTAAGAACTTAAATTCTAAATTAAACGTCATGTAGTGTATATTTCATTCAGAATTTAAGTTCGTGATGACATATTTTACTCCAAAACTGAAATTAAACTACATTACAGATTTAATGGCAATACCTTAAGATAAATGTCAAACTTTTTACCTTAAAAAAAGGTAAAAATACTACTGTATGTTAGTGTTACAAAATCAAACATAAAGCAAAATCATTATTGTAGCTAATCTCTTTAAAGATTAATACAGATTTTGCTATTAATTCCAAGACAAAATCAAGATACAATTCTAGAGATACCCAAGAACATAAATACCTTGTGTGGAGAGCTGAGCAGCCTGAGAAACCAGAGAAGTTATGTTGAAGGCAGATGGTCCAGCAGTAAGGAATTTATGAATTATAGACTGCAGGGAGGCCTGTGTCACAGCTGCTGTAAGAACTGAAAACACATTATTTCCTAAATTCAAGCAGAAATACACAGGCATACATCGCATCAGTAACAACTTGAAAACTCAAAAGGAATTAAAAAAAAAAAAACAAAAAACCCGGATGTTTCAAGAATTCTCAAGATAAAAAAAATCCAGAAAATAGGAGTAATATAATGGATCTAAGAAACTGAAATTACTTAGCTCTGAGGCAGAGAAAAAGAAACTTAATGGTTTTTTAATAAAGGAAAAGTTTCCATTACACTAATAAATGTAGATGTTCAGTTAAAGAAAACCCTTCACTATAACATTTTAAAAAAAAACACTAAAGAGTGTTCTTCAGAACTTCTGATTATGCCACAAATCTATCCACATGTAAGAATAGTGCTTAGTATATCACCTGGAATTAACTCAGTAAATGGTAGCTATTTCATGTGACTGCTTTATCAAACAACCTGACCACTCAAACCCTTTATCAACACCCACACCAAATATCTTTAAAAAAATACCAAAAGCTGAGCACTTAGAAATATCATATATTTTTCTAAGCATAAGAAGACCTATTATTATTAACATCTTCCTGTTACTATTTCCTCAAATTGTTTAAAAGCCCAGTTTTGCCCAAGTGAAATGTTAATCTACTGAGTAAGAGGACGGTAGATTATCTTAGAGAGTACAATCAGAACAGAGAAAAGCTGAGGCCAGTAACAACAGAAGACTAATGGCCAACTAGCCTGAGACAGCTGTACTTTTAGGATAAAGGAAGAACTTAACCACTTGACACCACTGCTGAATGTATTATGTGGGAAGTGTACATCAACAGAAATCGACTATTCTGAACTGAAAAATTCCGCAATACAAACATGCGCTCAGGATCTGAACGGTTTACGAACTAAAGCCACATTCACTCTTATCCACATCTCTTCTCTGAGTTGGCTGCCTGAAAACCAGTGTCAGAATGAATCAACGCAATCCATCAGGAAAAGGAGCCAAATTTCACCTAGCACCTCCCTTCCCACAATTTTTTCCAAGTATTGTGAGAAGAAACTCGCTGGATTCCTACTCTTCAAGTAACAAGCATATCTTTTACCTTCCAAATATTTATTTACCCGTATACAGAATTTTAGAAATATGTCAGAAATGAGAAATGTTTTTATATCAGTTTTAGCAAATGTTTTGCTTTTACTTAAAAAAAAAAAAAAAAAAAAAAACACGACACACACTAAGCACACAGAATGGTTTATCCCCAGGTACATGGCAAGTCTTGAAAAATATACAAAAAATCCAAGTATTGCTAGCTCAATTACTACTACCAAGGGCTTAAGCTATACACGTAAACTCCATATTAAGAGAATGACGTTCAAACGTGAGTTTCAAAATGAAAACAAAGACCGTTCGTAAAGTCGAGACTTTACTAGTTATAAAATTTTGTACAATGCAAATATATTTTAAAAAACTGTTACTATAAAAACGTACCTTCATTTATTTTGGATATATCCACATTAGAATTATTAAGCTGCAGGGTAGCTTGCAAAGCAGGAAGCAACTGTCTAAGGAGGTTTGGGTCCTGAAGCAAAGGAGGGATCGGTGACTGAGGAAGAGGTGAAACAGGGACTGCCGAGGCAGATGTCGGAGGTGCAGATGTGGGGTTTAGTCCAGAGGCAGAAGACGTGGAAGGTGTTGTGCAAGAATGTGATACAGATTTGTCTCCTGATGTAGATTCTAAATAAAAAGAGATAATAAAGCTGACAAAAATTACTTGAATAGAGGAACAGAAGAAACCGGAGCCAACATCAAACGAGCACTCCCCACGTACCTGGTACCTAATCATGTCCTCTTCACAAGGCGGCACATAGAGGGCTCAGTAAATGGCTAACTAAAATGATGAGACAGGCATTTTTATCCCAACTTTATATGTGAGGAAACTGAACAAGACAGATTATGTAACTTGTGATTTAATCATACCAAAAGTACCCTGTTCTAACTACTAGTAAGGCTGCCTCAAGCACAATATCTATTAACCAGACATTCAAATAAGCTTTCATTCAGATAGAGAGACAATTCTACAGGGCTTAATCTGTATGTCTGATAAAATAACTTGAGGTGAAAAGTGTTGAAGACCACCGTGACAATCTACGCAAATAGGACAATGGCCTTAACACAGGCAACATGCTGGTGGTTCCCACCAGTGAGCTGAAGATGTGACAGATGACAGGAGACTCCTGCTTTAAACTTTTACACTTTGTGTTTGAGTTTGAGAACCACATACTCCTCCCCTTCTGTGATTAAATATATAAAGCAATGAGTTAGTCTGCATTTCTAACATTTAAAAATTATGAGCATTAAAAAGGACCCTTTTTAATAGCAAAAACAAAGAACACAAACCCACTTAGACAAATAAACCTCGTAGTATTTAGAAATAAAAGATGTATAAAACATTCATGGAAAATTATCATTATTGAAAAGTTATTTAAAATTATCTATAGAGATTCAATGTTATTGCAGTCAAAACCCTGTACTATTTCTGGTAGCATTTCACAAGCTGATTCTATTAATTTATTTGAAGAGTTCTTGGTAAGAACCAAGAAATTCCTGAAGAAAAACAAACAAGAACACAGCTACCAGGTCATGTCCTGCTGGATATCAAAGCTTACAAAACCAAAAAGGAAACAAAACAAAAACAAGCAAAAAATCCCAACAAGAAGGTGGATTAAACTGTTGCATATATACTTAAGTCTTCACAACTATTATAGGAAATCACAGGAAGATACCTTTGACATCAGGAAGATTTCTAAAATTACAAAAAGCAAAACAATTATATCCAAAGTTTTAGTAACCAGAATTTTTTTTTTTTAAACGCCTATGAATCAAAAAAGAAAAGCACAGAAAACAGAACAAAAGACATGAAAGGAAAAGGCATTTCACAGAGAAAGTTTAAGCAGCTAAATAAATGCAAGAAAAGATGCTCAACTTCATTAATCATCAGGAAAATACAAATTAAAACCAACAAGATACCCTCTTAAACGCACTAGATAGGCAAAAACTAAGAAGTCTGTCAAAACCAAATGTCAGCAAGGAGCAAAGTAATAGGGACATTTTCATAACATTTCTGGTGGAGACTAAGCTGACATAACCACATTGGAAAATCATTTGACGTTATCTAGAAGAGGTGACTATGCACATACCCTTACACATACACCCTAGAGAAACTCTAGCATATGTAAACCAGGAGAAATAGTCAACAACGTTCATACCAGCATCATGCTTGTTTTATTTTAGCACGAAACTAGAAACCAACCAAATAAATGTCCGTCAAAAACAGAATGAAAAAATTGTGTATTTTTAAATACCGTGGAATTTTACTAACAGTGATTTTAATGGAGACAAAAACAAAACCAGAGACCTTAAGGGTAACAACAATCAGGTTAAACTATTCAAGACGGTCATACCTACTCTCACAATATTGGTGTAAAGACTAAATATGAAGATCTGCTTTAAATATCTTTAATTTCCTATACATACCTATTTCTTGAAGATTTTCAAGCTCTCATAGACACTGCATGGTTAAGACTGCTGTTACAGAGTTGGGTATAAAAGAGCACCAGGAACACTGGATTTGGTTATTTATTACACTGCCGTCTACTAACTGTACATCTTTACTTCCAATTCCAGAAACTATCAACCTTCATGATCCCACAGAAGCCAGGAATTATGAGTAAGATTATTGAGAAGTGACTCCTTTACTAGTCTTTTTACAAGTCCTTCCACCATAACGGTCATACAAACTAGGGATAACAGCTCTCTAAACTACTGACCTCACAGACGGATGGGGTTAAGTACATTTCAAGGATTTGAAATTCTTATTTTGGTTTTTCTTGATTCATCACAGTAACTCAGAAAGCCTAGGATAGTTTAATTTTGCGTAAGGCACGTATTTTAAAGGAGAGCCCCTAAGTCTAGCAGACTATCTTCTCCAGCTTTGTTGTTTTGAATTCATAAAGTATAAAGAAACTTGTATGAAATGAAATTTCCTTATGAAAATCTGTCTTTAGTTATTACGTCTATTTCATGGTGGAATTATAGACTATACTAGCAGTTTTTTATTTGGGAAGCCACCAGATTATATCCTTTAAGGTTTTTTATATATAGCTTAGGGACATCAAATATAAAATGTTATTCTTAGAAGCAGTCTTAATTTTATCATAAAATATTGCAAAAGAGGGAAGTTTTAAATTTAAGGTGGCTGGGTGCCCCTCCTCTGCGTTCAGAGTGCCCTAACACAGAGCTGTCCTGTTGCCTAGCATCTTCTATTCTGCAGCCCTGGGGCAGAATGGGACTTGATACCACAATGACACTAACATCTAGTTGACGGAATGACTGCATGTATATAAGCCGGCTCTTTTTAACTTCTCTGCTCGTTTTTTGGATTGGCCTAAAAACTGAAAATGCTGAGAAGAAAGTCCTAGGTCTCCACAAATAATTCACAAAGCAAATAGCTCATTTTACGTTGTACTTATAAAGCTGAGTAATGCATAGTCTTAGAGACAAATTAAAACTTCAGGCTTATCTTATAAAACACTCAACTGCTTTTTTCACAGACAAAGGCAACAAACTAAACAATCAGTGAGTGTCAGTGCGTATTACAGACCGATATGATCTGCTCTTTAAGCCTCTAGTCTCATTCCTTCCAGTGTAAACTTTGCCAAGCATTCAAGAAACCTAGGTTACTTTAAACATCTTTTCACAGTCTTTGGCAATGAAATGGTATCTACTTTTAGCTGTTGTTTACTTTTTTGTTGCCTACGATCTATTTGAGGATTATCCAGTGATCTCTTCCTAAGCTGCTTTATAAACTTCAGTGAACTATGTCACTTCCCCCGTAACATTTCAGTGACTTGTAGCTCTCTAACCAATTCTTTCCACCACACATCTGTCACTCTGTTGTACTGTAATGGCCTGAGTGTGGCTGTGATGCTAGAAGGGATGCCACTGATATTTCAAATACCAGCAGGGTCACCCACGGTGGGGAGATCTCCGCAGAGCTTCCAGACTAAGACAGACTAGGAAGAAGGACCTGGTGGTCTACTTCTGAAAAAACTGGCCATTGAGAACCTTAAGAACAGCAGCGGAACAGTGTCTGATTTAGTGCCGGAAGATGAGCCCCTCAGGTCGGAAGGCACTCAAAATACAACTGTGCAAGAGTTGCCTCCTCAAAATAAAATTGACCTTAACGATGTGGATGGAGTAAAGATTTCAGGACCTTTATTTCCTGATGCGGCACGGCTCAAACTGAGAAGAAACAGCTGCAAACATCCATTAATAATTGGAATGTGGAATATACAAAGCATGAATCTAGGAAAACTGGAAGTTTAAAAAATTAAATGGAGCCCATGAAGATCGAGATCCCAGACATTAGTGAGCTGAAATGGACTGGTATCGACCATTCTGAATTCGACAATGATGATGTCTCCCATGGCGGGAACGACAAACTGAAGAGGGACGGCCTCGCACTCATCATCAAAAGGAGCATCTCAAGATCTCCTGAAGAACAACGCTGTCAGTGGGAGGATAACGTCCACACGCCTACAGGGAAGGCCAGTAAATACGACCAGTGTTCAAATTCACGCACCAACCACTAAGGCCAACGATGAAGAAATTAAAGATTTTTACCAACTTCTGCAGTCTGAAATTGACCACACATGCAATCAAGACGCACCGATAATTTCTGGGGATTGGAATGCAAAAGCTGGAAACAAAGAAGGATCGGCAGTTGGAAGACATTGCCTTGGTGACAGAAACTACATCGGAGATCACATGAAAGAGTTCTGCAAGACCAACGACGTCTTCATTGCAAATACCACTTTTCAACAACATAAATGGCGACTATACCAAATGGAACTTGCAGGATAGAATACATCTGTGGAAAGGAACGATGGAAAAGCTCAATATCATCAGAACAATGCCAGGGGCCGACTGTGGACCAGACCATCAATTGCTCATATGCAAGTTCAAGTTGAAGCTGAAGGAAATTAAAACAAGTCCACAAGAGCCAAAACACGACCTTGTGTATATCCCACCCGAATTTAGAGACCACCTCAAGAACCGACTTGATGCGCTGAACACTAATGACTGAAGACCAGACAAGTTGTAGGATGACATCAAGGACATCACACATGAAGAAAGCAAGAGATCATTAAAAAGACAGGAAAGAAAGAAAAGACCAAAATGGATGTCAGAAGAGACTATGAAACTTGTTCTTGAATGCAGAGTAGCTAAAGCGAACAGAAGAAATTATGAAGTAAAAGAGGTAAACACAAGATTTCATGGTGGCTTGAGAAGACCAAGTATTATAATGAAATGTGCAAAGATATGGAGGTAAAAACCAAGAGGGAAGAACTCAGTATTTCTCAAGCTGAAAGAAGTGAATAAGAAAAAATTCAAGCCTCAAGTTACAATACTGAAGGACTCCATGGGCAAAATATCAAACGAAGCAGGAAGCGTCACAAGATGGTAGGAATACACAGTTACTGTACCAAAAAAGAACTGGTTGACGTTACATCATTTCAGGAGGTAGCATATGATCAAGAATTGATGGTATGGAAGGAAGTACAAGCTGCAATGAAGGCATTCGCGGAAAACAAGGCCAGTGACAGAAGAAGTCACATGCCAATTGAGATGTTTCAACGAACGCATGCAATGCTGGAAGCGCTCACTCGTCTATG